TTGCTGTTTATCTAATTAGTAATAATTAACTTATCCTGTCAATTAAGTTTCATTCTGATAAACTGTAAGGAATTGACAGAAGCTTCATTCTAATCCGGTTGTACAAATGATTCCAAAATGCATTGATCATTTAGGTGTCAGATAGTTGAAGACCTTAATCTAATTCATATACAGGTTGGTATTTCTTGACTATCTGCTTCTATTTCAGTATGCTTCTATTGATCACGTGAAAATATCCACAGAGATACGGCCTCAAAGTTAAAATTAACATTGTCATGGAGTTCTTTGTGGTTAGGGATAAGACAGAATTAAAACTACGTGGTGTTAAAATAAAGACTGGATTACATGAAATTGACAACTGTAACTAGTCAATGTAAATATTTCAATCCTACCGGAAATTAGATGCAGCCCAAGTAAATCAATGACAATATCTTTCACTGTGAGACTGGCAACATGAATTTAAGTAAAACACAGTACCAGTTGTCACAAGAGTACACAAACTTTTTGGTGACGAGTACTAATGGACAGCAACAATAAAAAAGCTAGTGCAATTTGTCATTAACTGCGTTTGTAATACAATAAGTTCATCGAATAGGTTAGACCGATTATTCACAAATTCTATCTATAAGATCTCAAAGTTTACTGAAACATATTGTAGGGGACGTTAGATCCCTAGAACTCACTTGATAAAAGTCCTAATTTTGGATTTTTTGTGTTTTCGCGCATAAGCTACCCAGTTGACCTTGAGATTACATTTCCCACCCGAAAAATTCTTGACTGTTATTGGATGATGGATTATTTTAGTACGCTATTTTTGTGGCTCTCCCAAGGACGTTTCTATGGTGTATAAATAAACTCTATTTGTGTGCTTGTAAAACCTCATATTTTCTGGGTGCTTGTAGAATACACTTTCTACGCCATATCAAGACTTCTTCCTCTACTTAGTGGGGCCTTGGGATGCTTGGATTAGAGTAGCCTATCATGTCACTGGATCATTTGTTTTCGCTTTGGTTTATCGATTAAGGTGAACTCGTTATAGTTCAAGCATAACAACATATAGACCATGTGATTTATAAATCACACTAATTTATGAAGTTACGTAAGGCCGTGAATTCATGTCACTATGTTATTACTCTATCACGTAAGTATCTCCCAATCAGTAGAAAGTATTTCCATTATCCTAATAGTCAAGTGAACATTATGTAAGTAAGTATTCTTTTTAATATAAGAAGCAGTTTGAACTGTACTTACACTAAAATATTATACAGTTTTTATGAAATATGAAACTATAACGACTTATGCTGTGAATCATCCACACTTGAAAATTGAACAATAGGATCAACTCACTCTTCAGAGACCTTTGAATATTTGCATTCAAGCTTATTTCTTCATAAAGATTATTTGTTATCTTATTATTTGTGATATGATTGTTTCAAAACGCTGGGAACTAAATCACCTGACTGTAACCGGGTTTAAACTTGAATCTTCGATAGCAGTTATCGAAATGCTTGTCATCATATAAATTATTAGGTTTTATATAAAGATTGAACCTATAATAATCAGTAAGATCACTTTTAGAACTACCAATATTACTGAACAACAGATTTGAGGAGTGCAAAGTTAGTGTATGGGTAGGTGAGAATGTTGAGTTTAGACCACAGTGGGCTTAAAATTATTTGAAATGTAAGTAATTAGAACAGTACGATAGATAGATAGATAGATAGATAGATAGATAGATAGATAGATAGATAGATAGATAGATAGATAAAGTTATGAAGTAAAATTGATCAGCAATGACGAAAAAACACCATTCCATTCAATCTTACAAATAACATCAAATATTTATATATTATAATTGCTCAATCACTAAACTACTTAATTCTTATATTCACATGACGAATGTTTATAATAAACTAATTAAATAATTTAATCTCTGTTGAACTTCTAACTGATTACTTACTTAATTACGCCTGTTACCCCTAATGGAATATAGGCTGCCGACAAACGAATTATTATTCTGGTTAGTGCTTTTTCCAGCAAGATGGGTTTCTACGGGGTGGGGAGGCTAACGCCATACCCAACCCTCCTCTTTTATCTGGGGTTGGGACGGACAGTTACCCTAGAAGGGTTTCAGGCGTAGTTTTCTGACTGATGACTGTTTTAGAAAAATCATGGTTAGCTAGCAATTTAAAAATTCCAACGGAGTCAAATAAGACTGACAAATTCTGTCATGAGATTAATGTTCATCCAAACTTTCTACTATTTATTATTTAAGAAAATATTTTCTATGAGTTTACAGTCTAACAAAGACTTCATGTCAAGGCTAATGAACACTTAGCTATTTGGTTCATTGATAAAAACAGTTTATTCTATTTACGTTCACGAGATGGCAGTAACGGATGGTTAGAGACCTTGAACGATATGGCTCAAAATCGTTCGCAATGGCACAGATGCATCCACTCTTTGTATTCCCTGAAATTTTAATCTGAATTCCTCATCACCTCTATCTTTCTTTTTTTAAAGTTATCTCACTGAATCATATTTGTTGAATAATATCTTCGAACCCTAATCTTCTCCATTAACAGTAATACTTCTACTTTCTCTACCACTATGAGATTTGAACTGACAATTGAGTATCTGTGCTAATGTAGTATGGCAACTTGATCTTATGTATATGTATGTACGAAGTTCTAAGTTGTAAGTCACTTGACTTGATGACCGTTTCTTGGTATCAGACTAGTATTTACTCTTCGTACAGTTTACGTAAAATGATCAGAACTTACAAAAGAATGAGTCTAGAACTTCACCAAACTATGAAAGGTATGATAATTTATGTTTTCAATCCTAACAATTCATTCAACACTTCAATGATTTTTCTACACATTTGAAATCGTCGATCACTCATTGTTACAACAACATTAGAAACCTGAAAGCACTGGACGGCCGTTTCGTTCCTGGTATGGGACTCGTCAGTGGCAGTGCGCATCCACGAATCCTGCACCTCACAGGATCCGAACCCGGGACCTTCGTTATTGTGCGCGAACGCCTAACCAAGCCGGCCACTGGGTCGGCATCCAACGGTGTTGATGTCTAACTCTGATTGATCTAGGGATTTTGCGCAACCTCACCCATTTCGCCTTTGGTAGTTACTGCCTACACCGGACAGGGTTGAACTCCATTGGTCACGTCTTCTCAACTAGAACTCCGAGGATTTCCTCACGAAGCTAGTAGTCTCTAGTGGGCACTGTAACGATATTTTCAGGCACAGTTTTAGCGGTTTGTGTTTTTACACATTTGAAATCATCAAGTAGCAATAACATTTAAATACAATTGCATATATTTGATAACAGACTTTTACTAGATCGATATTGTTTAAAATCAATAGAATATCCTTTAACTATTAGATGGCTCGTATTTATTTCTAATCAAGCATAACATTCCTAGTGAAAATTCTAGATTCAGGAAATCACTTTTAGTAGACAAAATTATTTTCATTCAATGTGACTTCGGATGCAACTAGTAGGAAATCGCATGTCATACTAAAGATTTCTAACATTGATTTATATACACTGTATCTCAAAGACCTGTTATTTTGAATTTAAGTGAATTACTGTGATTACATCTTCCGACTGAGGATTCTCAGCCATTTAAATTCTATTCATAGATTGACAAGGTGGAATGCAAACACAGTCTTATTAGTATGCTATTGAACGCTAACTCCAGAGTAGCACTGATAGATTTGATCCTCATTAGGTTGTTAATAATATGTATTTAGACTACGACGTCTCATCAAAATCAAACATAACTAAAGGTACTTACTGATGTATCCAACATGTATCAAACAATGTTCAACTAATGAGTTTTATAAATATCCAATTTACCTCTAACAATGAGTATATCAAATAACTTTTGTTTCAAGCAACAAAATTCAATATCTAGATCGGTAGTTTCTGCCATTTCTGTAAAGTATCATAATATTATCGAGTCATTTCAAAGTCATGAGGTATACATCCCTCGGTATTGCGAAAAAAATCATTATCCGACATTAAACAAAGGGTAATAAGAGTTTTTAAGCTCATTTGCATCAAGCTGGGCTGCATTTCTTTTTATCCTATACCATACAATGTATAAACCATCAGTTATCTGTCTATAATACACAGCTGAAGGTTTCCTATAGGACCAGAGGTTCGCTGTCAATATTGTGGATGGCTTGGCATTGCTTTGGCAAATATTGCTAACAGTCCATATACAAATTTGGTTAGCAGGGTAACTGATTTCATTGATACTGTTGGTTGTGTCTACAACATTCTCGAGGGCAGTTGTCATTAGGGTGCTGAATTGCATATCACCATTGCTAATAATAATAATAATGAGTTTAACAGTCATGTAAACGGGTTGGGTTAAACTGTCCTGTTAATGTTATGCATACTGACTGACGCTATCACAGATCGGAAATAATCACCATATACATGTACTAGTGAATATATAAATAGTCCATCGGGGTATCAGGTGCTTGTGTGATTGCGCCACGCGATTAAGCCAAACTGTTCACGTTGAAATGTTAACACACGTGGGCAGTAAGTAGTCTCCTTGATCCTCCTGCAAACTAATGTTAAATTACATTACATTTACCAATAGAACGGTTAATTTGCTTAATTTGTTTGTATAAAAAAAAAACCCAAAGTCAATAAACTCATCTCTGTGTGTGAACAAAACATTTCCCCTTTAAATATTAAAATCAAAATTGAAAGCTAATCTCAATCTAAAACAAAGCATAATTATACACATTGGATTGCCATTTTTTTTACATTGAACATGAGAAAATCATGGGGTAATTTTAAGAAAATCATTATAAGCAACTTACAAATGTAGTATTTATTTGTGATCTTTTAAGAAAAAATTTTTACAACATCATTGAATGTGTATATATATATATATATATATATATATATATATATATATATATATATATATATATATATATATATATATAGATGTATCTAAACAAGTGTTAGTTATACAAGATTGACTAGTGAGAAGCAATTCTTTATATATATATATTTATATATATTCAATGTTCAATGTCATATAAGTAAAAAGCTGAAAGGCGATCATTATCAAATGAACCGCACAAATGAACATCCTTGTGCATCAAGTGAAAAGAAAATGTTGAAATTACACTAATTTTCGTAATAATAATAATAATAACAGTTACTATAGAAATATACACACTAAACAACATGTACAATATATATATAATTCATACAATGTGAACAAGGTGCGGAGGCGGGGGAGGAAGGAAACAAAAGCCCGGAAAACACATTATATATATATCTATGAAAAATATGATACATTCGAAGAGTATTGATGTATATATATATATATATATATCTTTGATAATCATGATGGTCGAATATGACCAAAAATAATAATTAGCTTAGATAAAGAGAGAAAGAGAGAGAGATAGGGAGAAACGCCGTTTAGCATATATTATTATTATTATACACAACAGCGGGACAAGTTTAACTCGATAAAAACGTGAGAAAAATGTCACTTGTCTATATCGGTTGATAAGAGGAGTATGCAAACAGACAGACAGAGAGAGAGAAAAAATTATAATAATTGAAGAATTGACAGAACTATGCCAATCATGTATGTTCTTCGATAGCGCGCGTAGTAGTAGTAGTAGTAAGAAAATAGACCTCCAAGAATAATCACAGAGAGATCGATGTGTAGACAGACACACACTACATTTGAGATAGAGATCAGCTATATATGGATATATGTGATTTTGTCTCAGCATTGTTGATCAATTGAATAAAGTATTCAATTCAGCAAGTGAACATGGGTATGTACACACACACACACACACACACACACTGGAAAATCACGTGATAACTTTCTCTTTGGTTGTATCACCATTACCGGTGGTGAATTCGTCCAATGTATTATTGAATTTTTCCGTTGGTAAAGCAAAACTATACTTTTTCATTAAATGATCATGTAGTACAACAGGTGGTGGTGTCGAGATCTTTTGACGTATCACTTGTAACACTGTTACAATACTGCCCATTGCAAGAATAAAAAAAATAATTGATACAACAAGGACCTTGTATAAGAAGAAGAAGAAGAATAAAGAAAACATTATATTAGAGAATCACTATGCTGGAGGGTTATCGGGTATTAGTTATCGTTAAGTCAAAAGGAAAATAAATATGTATGTATAACCAAAACATGACAGTCAGTCAGATGCAACGGAGAACTTTGTACGTAAGTACATCAGTTCATGTTGCCATACCTTATCAGCAAAGAAATATAATTGTCAATTCAAATCCAATAGTAGAAGAGATAGTAAAGGTATTAGAAGTAATCTGAGAGGTTAGGATTAGAAGATATTATTCAAGAAGTATGATTCAGTGAGATAAGTTTAGAAAGACAAAACTAGAGGTGTTGAATAATCCGGAAGATTAAGGTTTGATAGAACACAAAGAATAAATGCACCGGCGCCATTGCGAACGATTTTGAGCCATGTCATTCAGTGTCTCTAACCATCAGTTATTATCATCTCGCGGACCCCAACCAGGTAGTCGACAATTACCGACATGGCTAAGTCCACTCGTCAATGATTTCATGGATTTCTGCCATGTTTTGGTTTGGCCGCCCCTAACTTTCTTCCAACCTATTCCTACACTACAAAACATAGATCGACGAGGCAGTCGGTGGTTAGGCATACGCAGCACATGTCCCAACCACATCAACTGATGAAGTTTCAGCACTTCATCTATTGATCTGCCATTCTTACCTAGCACCCGTTTCCTAATAACAGCGTTGCTCACTCGGGGGTCCCAGGTTATACGAGCAATGCTTCGAAGACACCTATGATCGAAGACCATTAACCGACGAGTATCTTCTACTCTCACTGGCCATGTTTCACAGCCATAAAGTAAGACGGAGCAAACTACTGCGCAGTACACTCGTCCTTTAGTCAGCAAACGGATATCTTGCCTACGCCATAAGTGATGCAGGTTGGCAAAAGCCAATCGAGAAAACATGACAGAAATCCATGAAGTCACTAACAAGTGGATTGAGTCATGTTGGTAGATAGATGTAGGTTATCTGGTTGAGGTCCGCGAGACGAAAGTCACCAATGGCTAGAGACCTTGAACGAGATGGCTCAGAATCGTTTGCAATGGTGCAGGTGCATCCACTCTTTGTGTTTTCTCCCTAATTCTAACCTTCTGAATTACTCATCATCTCATTCTTTCTCCTTCTGAATTTATCTCATTGAATTATACTTTTCGAATCATATCTTCGCTCGCTAATCTTCTCCATTACTGCTAATAATTCTACTATCGCTATCGCTCTTGGATTTGAACTGACAGTTACGTCTCTGTACTGATGTGGTATGGCAACCTGAACTGATGTTCTGTGTTGTATCTGTCTGTCTATATAATAATTCACTAATGTGTATGTACATGTTAGTGGGACATAGATGGAATTAAAGCATCACTACGTTGCTGCGCGCTGATTAGCTAATTTCCTATCCAATCAGCGCCTGACCGATTCTTGTAGAACAGGGTAGAAAATTCTCGTATTGTTAGCTGCATGCTGATTGGCTAAATCTAATTAAGTCGATCACGTGAATTTCTATCCAGAAGCTTCTCATGTAAATGCTATAAATAGACTAACGTTGTATCTATTTTGCCTTCGACTTCGCCTTCGCCATCACCTTTGGCTTCTTATTTCCATTTAACCTTGCTTTTAGAATATAATCTTTTCCTGTTCAACCGTGTTTTTGATTCTTTGGAACTTGTCCAGTGTATTGTGGTCAGAGAATACTAAGCAATAGGATTTAGCCGGAAATTATATAAGCAAGCGTTACAACAGTACAATCAAACAAAAAAATATAGTTTTACTGAAATGATAATCAGGTTACAGATAAACAACTATTACAGCGTAATAAATGTAAATAATATTGAAAATGTCATAATTAGCGAGCGGCGGAGTAATTATGCGCTGCCGATGAGTCATCTCATACTAGGACGAAACAGCCGCCAATCAAGTGCCTCCAAGTTTCTAATGCCAGTTTAACATGGATAAACTTATGATTTCAAAATAACACATTTATGCCATTGTAATGTGTACTAACTAATGTATCAAGCCTATAAGGCTTGTGTCCTGGCCTTTGAACAAATCAATCAATCCATTATTGACATGCCTTTTCGACCTTGTTAATTATTCGCTCATAACCTTGGTGATTTTCATTTGAATGTGTGTGTGTATGTGCACACCTACTACGATTATCATATGTGTGGCTTAATTTTGCTTAACTATCAATGCCCTCTAGTCATGCCTTTTTCCAACAACAACAACTACCTGTGGTGTGAGCTACTTATAAGTAGTATATGACGTGAGTGTCAACGTAATGTCTGGGAGCGGAAGATGGGGAGAGATCAAGAAAGGAATGGTTAGAACACAATGGAATTTGTATGAAATGCATGAATAGTGACAATGGATTGACGTTTTGCAACAGGAACAGTCCAGTTCGATATGATGAACTGATATTTTGCAAATGAACGATTTACGATATGGTTTTCCGATTTTACTGAGTAACTCTGTAATTTTGGTTAAATACAATTCGGTTGCCCCACCTGTGTTCTCGTTCACTACAGAGGTAGTAAAAGCATTAGCAGTAATCGGAGAGATTAGGGCTCGAAGATATGATTCGAGAAGTATAATTTGCTGAGATAAATTTTGAAACAGAAAGATAGAGATGATGAGGAATTCAGAAGGTCTGAATTTTAGAGAACACAAGGAGTGGATGCACTTGCACGATTGTAAACGATTTTGAGCCATGTCGTTCAAGGTCTCTAATCATTGGTTACTTTCGTCTAGCGGACCCCAACCAGGTAACCTACATCACTTGTCAGTGATTTCATGGATTTGTGCCATGTTTTGGTGTCGCGGACCCTAGCTTTCCTACAACCTACTCCTGCACCACAAAACAGCTTGTCGAAGAGGTCAGTGGTTGGGCATTCGTAAAACATGTCCCAACCACTTCAACCGATGGAATTCCGACACTTCATCTATTGATCTGCCATCTCTACCTAGTAATCGTTTCTTAACGACAGTATTGCTTACTCGGCTGTCCCAGGATATAAGAGCAATGCTTCAAAGACATATTTAATCGAATACTAACAGCCTACAAATGTCCTCCACTCTTATCAACCATGTTTCACATGTATATAGTAGGATAGAGCGAACATTATCATCATCATCGTGGAAAATCTCTTATTTCCACAATGATGTTTCAGATGAACAGTGTGTCTAAGCTTGATATTCTCCTCCATACGAATGAATAACAAATTCCTAAGCTTGATTATCGTGTGATAAAAAAATACATATATATATCAGATGATGGATGATATCAGCCAACTCTAATTGACTGCCTCAATATTCTGTTCAATTTTTTATTGATTATTTCTCAAAAAAAAAAACGGAATCAATGAGAATGGTTCAAACTAACTAAGAAAAAAATTATTTTTTTCTTAACTGATATAATTCAATTATAAAAACAATATATTACTACTACTACTACTGCTACTACTCTATAGAAAAAAAAAACACCTCGGTTAGTAGTTTAATTTTCAATCATATGATAATGACGACGATGATGATGATGATGATGATGATGATGATAACATACTCGAAATAATCACTTTCAGTGTAAATTGAAAATATTTGTTTTTTGTTTTGTTTGGAAACTATGTAGTTGAAACAAAATATCTATAGACAATACATACTCTTCTATTTCAACAGAAAATTAATAAGAATAAGACAATGGAGAGAAAAAAAACACCCACCTAAGATAATAAATAGATAAATTTCTTTTATGAATAAAATAATTGTGCTTAATTTGTGAAATCCAATGAATGAGCAGTGGATGGATTTCTACGCTTTGTAAGTTCTCTAGATTGAATCGTTCAATGACTAAGAGTAATTTTGCACATTGAAATCATCAATCAATCATTGTTAGACCAACATCATAAACCTGGAAGCACTGAAAGACGACCGTTTTGACCTGGTATCGGACTGACTCATCAGTGCCATTGAGCATCCACAACTCCTGCACCTCGCAGGATTCGAACCCAGGATCTAAGGTCTTGTGCGCGAACGCCTAACCTCTGGACCACTAAGCCGACATCCAATGGTGTTAATGTCTAACTCTGATCAATCTAACAGTAATGTAGATAACATACGATTCACAACAAGACTTATCTTCGCTACCTAATCTTCTCGATTACTACTAATACTTCTATTATTGCTATTACTCTTGGATTTGAACTGACAGTTGCGTCTCTGTGCTGATGTGGTATGGCAATCTGAACTAATGTACTTACGTACGAAGTTCTGTGTTGTATGTGTCTGTCTGTCAACAACTGATGAAATTGTTCGCTGTTGAGTATTTAAATAATTCTATCATTATTTAGCATGTATCTGTATTGGTAGAAAACGGTGAGCAGATTAATAGACCAGTAAAATCAATTAATCATGATAAAAAATAATTAGATTGTTTCTGAAGTAATGCTGGAGTGATCTTAAGACTAGTAAGAAACATTGAAGTTAGATATATAGAGTTTTAAGTGAATGAAGAAAGAGCAGGTTGATAATGAATATATCTACCAGCTGAAATGCTTAAAATGTCAATCACTTATAAGAAGAAATTGACTGTTTCACGTGATATACTGAACCAATCAGAAGTAACCTAATACGAAGGCCATTGGACAATCATTAGAAATGTCCTAAAGAATGGATGCATATCATTGGATAAAAGAAATGGCTTTCTTTTCTAAGGAAGTGAATACATACATGCAGACGATTATTTGTTCATACTATTCTGTAGTCAAACAGATCTCTTCTGCGCTTTGTCTTCTCGTCCAAAGTAGGTTAGAACTAATTACCTTTAGATTTCGACACCACGCAACATATAACACTAAGTAGCTAAGGTAAACAGAATGGGCCGATTCATTTACCAGATGATCTGAGGCCCTTCCTGGGTTACTGTCAGTCCCAAGTCAGGATAAAAGGAAGATTGGAAATGAGGTTAGCAACTTAATACCGTAGAAAACAACCTTGCTATGAAAAAAAAATGCTAACCAGAAAATCTTATCTTCGATTGTATGAAACATACAGAACACTTGTAATTGTATACATACAGCAAATCTCGTTGTTTCTCTTATTCGTGGATTTTAAGAAGCATGAACACGTTCTTCAATTGATAACAGGCATAAAACTTTATCAAGTATCAGTCAACAGATGCTGGCAAAATGTAATCCTAGTTAATATTGGTCAAGATTGCGATTATAGAAATTTGCATTACGGGGTTGTGAAGAATGTTAAGTTACACATTTTCGTGGTTTCAAAAATGTGTAACTTAACAATCTTCACAACCCCGTAATGCAAATTACCTGTGCTCACTAGTGACTAGCTTCGTGAGGAATCTTCTTCGAGTTCTAGTGGGAAGACGTGACCAGTGAAGTTCAACCTGTTCGGGTGTAGACAGTAACTACCGAAGACTGTGTATGAGGTTGCGCAACTCCATGAATTTGATCAGGTTAGACAATAACACCGTTAGATACCGGCTCAGTGGTCTATCGGTTAGGGCGTTCGCGCACGATACCGAAGGTCATGGGTTCGAATCCTGCGGGGTGCAGGAGTCGTGGATGCGCACTGCTGAGGAGTCCCATACCAGGACGAAACGGCCGTCCAGTGCTTCCAGGTTTCTAATGGTGATCTAACATTGATCGGTTCGTGGCTTCAAAAATGTGTAATTATAGAAATATCAATGTTACGTTACACATTTTTACAAAATATAATAAACAATAATATCTAACCTGCCATTCATGACAATAACTTTGTTGAGATATTACATATAAATTATAAGCCATATATAATTCAAAACCGTATACTACAAATAGAAAAGGTAGAACAAATGTAATCCGACGAAACATCCATGACATGAAACCATCTGTAAGTAGAAAATAATTTAAAGAAATAAAATTAGCATGGTACATAAGCAATAAACTTAAATATGAGTGGTGGTGGTGGTGTTTGGTTCTCTGAGCTGGATATTTTGATTGTGAAGTATTCATTGTTCTTCTGAACAACAACATCATCAGCATAAACTTCTATCTGAGCAATGGATGGATTTGTAAGTTCTGTTGGGGATGTTAGATCCCCAAAAACTCGCTTGATAAATGCCTTATTTTGGTTTTCACGTTTGCCAGCATGGGCTGATCAGTTGACCTTGAGATTTCAATTCCCACCAGGAAAATCCATGGCTGTGATTGGCTGCTGTGTATTTTAGTGTGCTATTTTCATATCTGTCCCAAGGACGTTTCTATGATGTATAAATAAACGAGAGTTGTATGCTTGATTATATTGTGATTGCTGGGTGTTTGTAGAATATACTTTGTACGCTTACAAAGCCTTCTTACTTCAGCTTGGGTTTCAAGATAGCCTACCTGGACGCTGGTTAAAGTCTCGTTTGCGTTTATCGACTAAGGTAAACTCTTAATAGCCTCAAGCATACTTAGTGACGAACATAATAGTTCTCTAGATTGAATTGTTCAATGACTACGAGTAATTTTGCACATTGAAATCATCAATCAATCATTGTTAGATCAACATTAGAAACCTGGAAGCACTGAAAGACGGCCGTCAAGTCTTGGCATGAGACTACTCATCAGTGCCAGTGCGCATCCACAACTCCCGCACCCCACAAGATTCGAACACAGGATCTTCGGTCTTGCGCGCGAACGCCTAACTTCTGGACCGCTGAACCGGCATCTAACGGTGTTAATGTTTCACTCTGATCAATCTAACAGTAATGTAGATAACATACGATTCACAACGAAACTTATCACAAGACTTATCAAACTTCCATCTGAAGTTTGTGCTGATGATGTTGTTCAGAAGAACAATGAAAGCTTCATAACCAAAACATCCAGCTCAGAAAACCAAACACCTGAGCTACAAATCTTCTCCACCATCTTAAATTAATTGCCACACTTTTAAAGACGTTAGATCATGAAAACAAAAAGAAAACAGGAAAACGCAACAGATACACACATATACACACACAAAATTAAACTCGAACATAATGTCAACAAGGAACAGTGTATGTCAATGAAAATGAATAACATCACATTGGACCGCGGCGCAGTGCATTCATATAAGGCGTTCAAATATAGTGATATCTTCAAACGATACATAACATAACAGTTGTTCAACATAACATCAGCTGATATAGAATTAAAACTTCAAGTGAATAATTTAAAAAAATAATAAAAAAATTGACTATTAAAATTTACCAACAGTTATATCCATTGGATGTCGACAACCTAAAGTACGAAGTTTATACAAGCAACTTATTTGATATTGAAATTGTATAAAATGAACAAGATCTGTAAAGAGAAATATAACACTATCAGTGAGAATTATTTTTAGAGATAATATACAAAATAAATAATCGAATACATGCTAAGGTCAGTCAGTCAGCTAGCTAGCTACAATGTAAAACTTCGTACGTACGTACATCAGTTCAAGTTGTCATACTATATTAGCACAGAAACGCGGTTGTCACTTCAAACCCCATAGTAGTAGAGGTGTAGTGAACGAGAACACAGGTGGGGCAACCGAATTGTATTTAGCGAAATTACAGAGTTACTCAGTAAAATCGGAAAACCATATCGTAAATCGTTAATTTGCAAAATATCAGTTCATCATATCGAACTGGGCTGTTCCTGTTGAGAAACATCAATCCAATGTCACTGTTCATGCGTTTCATACAAATTCGATTGTTTTCTAACTCTTCCTTTCTTGATCTTCCCCCATATTATGTTGCCAGACATTACGTTGACACTCACGTCATATACTACTTATAAGTAGCTCACACCACACAGGTAGTAGAAGTATTAGCAGTAATCGGAGAGAATAGAGCTCGAAGATGTTATTAAATAAGTAGAATCTAGTGAAATAAACTTAAAAAGAGAAAGATAAAGATGATGAAGAATCCAGAGGATTAGGATTTGCGAGAACACAATGAATGAATACACCTGCGCCATTGCAAACGGTTTCTAGCCATCTTATTCAGGGTCTCTAATCATCGATTACTATCATCTTGCGGACCCCAACCGGGTAGTCTACACTTATCAATATGACTCAGGCAACTTGTCAGTGACTTCATGGTTTTGTACCATGTTTTGGTCTGGCCGCCCCTAGCTTTCTTCCAACGTACTCTCCTACACCACAAAACATTGCCCGACCAGGCAGTCGGTGGGTAGGAATACGTAACACGTGTCCCAACCATCTCAACTAATGGAGTTTCAATACTTCATCTACTGATCTGCCATCCCTACCCAGTTACTCGTTTCCTAACTACACCATTGCTTACTCGGTTGTCCCAGGATATTTGAGCAATGCTTCGAAGACACCTATGATCGAATACATGTTAAAGAACTGATCAAGAATGAAAAAAGACAGTTCAATAATATAACAGAATAATAATATAAACTAATTTTCCATCATTAAAGTGAAAGAAAAGAACGTCGATCGATACATTTTATGCACTGAATGATGAAATATGGCCATGTGATAACTGCTTATGAGGCCACATTATTATACACAAGCCCTTGAATGATTTGTAATCTCATTAGCCAAAAGGAATAGACATTTCGTTTATTTAATAAAATGATACACTTCTTGAAAAACTATCAACCGAAAAAAATGAATATAACGGAAATGACATAAACGACTAGAGGAAATAAGTTTTGTAGGTCATTCACAATCACACTCTCTCTCTCTCATGAATTCAGATCAAACAGACAGACAGACAGACTATTAGGCGTAATTCTTGTTTAGTATACACATACAGTGAATTCAATTAAAACTTGAAAAATCTTTCAGAGGATTAGATATTAACTAACGCACATGTGATTGTTATTTATATATACAGAACAATACACACTACAAGCATTTAGTCACACACACATCATGATGCATGATATTATGAGTGAATGGTTAGAAAATGTGACAATCTTTCTTTCGTAAGCTTAGTTGGTAGTCATATGGTCTAAATAAAATTTCGATAAAGTTAGTAATTGCAAAGATTTCGAGCTGAAGAACTAAGAGGATAACAAAAAATGGGAACACTCACTTAAAGATTAGTTATTATCAGATATGCTTTGGATCAAATTCTCATGCCGCATAAGAATGACAAGATGAAACCAACACAATAAATAGCAAAAACGATTTGAACAATGTAATGGCAATAATAACAATAAGAAAGACTAAGCATTTAGAAAAGGGTTTAAAAATGCAGAACGGAAAAGTATACATGGAAGAATACTTAAATACAAGATGTAAAAGGAAGAGAAACAGAGAATCCCATCTGCACAATTTTGTATGATTCTAAGCTGCATGACCCAACGTTACCAACCAATGATAGCGACCGCCTTACAGACTACAACGAAGTAGTCTGCATGTACTAGCACGGCTTAGACCAACGGCAGGTGACCACAAGAACTAACCCCCCCTTCTCAGTTTGGCCTCTCCTAGATTCATTTTAATCTAGTCCTAACTCTGCACAGGCAAACACAACCGTTGTTGAGTTAGACATGTGTAACGCATAGCCTAACCATTTCAGTGGATGATTTACGACCTTGTCAATCGACTTGCCACTATTATCAAGTACCCAAAGTCTAACCTGAGAATTCCTAACTCAGTCATCCCGCAAAACACAGGTAACGCTCCGAAGACAGCTATGATCAAAAGTCTGCACTACACATGTCTTCTACTGTTAATGACTATGTTTTACAGGTGTAACGTCAGTTAGTCAGCTACAATGTAGAACTTGGTACGTACATACATCGGGTTCAAGTTGTTATACTACATAAGCACAGATAGATCAAAATGTCAGTTCAAATCCCATAGTAGTAAAGGTTGTATCAGTATTAGCGGTAATGGAAAGCATTAGGGATCGAAAATATTATTCTAGATGCATAATTCAGTGAGACAAGTTTAGAGAGAGTTAAAATGGTCACGAGGAATTCAGAAAATTAAAATTTGAGAGAAGACTAAGAATGGATGCACATGCGCCATTGCAAACAATTTTAAGCAACGTCATTCAAAGTTTTTAGCCATCGGTTATTATCGTCTCGTGGATAACAATCACGTAATCTACACCTACTATCATAGCTCAGTTCAGTTGCCCGTGACTTCATGGATTTGTGTCATATTTCGGTCTGGCCGCCTCTAACTGTCTTTCAGCTTACCTCTAGACATCAGACAACAAAACTCGTCGAAGTAGTCGGTGGTTGAAACATATGTTACGTATGCCCAACCACCGGCTACCTCGACGAGCAATGTTGTTTGGAATAAGAGTATGCTCAAAGCTAGAGGATGCCAAGTCAAAACATGGGACAAGTCCAAGAAATCACCTATAGCTGTACTGAGCCGTGTTGGTAGGTGCAGACTACCTGGTTGGGGCTCGCGTAATAATCATAACCGGTGGTTAAAGCGTCTGAATGGCATGGCTCAAATCGTTTGCAATAGAGCCGCTGTATATATATTCTTTGTCTTCTCTCAAATTCTGAAACCCTCATAATTTTTCATTTCATAAATTTTTCGGCGCTGCACTATTTTGGAATTTGCCTTCATAATTTCATCTAGCTGTGTTAATAGAGTTTGGCAATTTGAACCGATGTATAATACGTATCAGCTTTTACGTTGCAACTGACTGACTTACCAACACAAATAAAACTGTAAATATTTTCAACCAATCAAACAGAGTAGCCCCAAAGTAACACCTTAAACACTTGTATATCGTCACATCATAGTCGCAAAAACGTACTTATCATTAATTTCCTTAACACGACTAGGTTCTCTATGTATTCTTGATCCATTTAGAAACGGCTTTGAAAGCGAATGAATATAATCAAATTATATTTCAATTTATTAAAAATCACTACTTACTTAAGTATAAACAAAATAGCATAAATTGGTCACGAAATTCATCATATGAACGAGATCTAGGCCTAGGATTTTTAATTAAACAGAAATAAACAATATGAGAATGCAACTTAATTATAAGTTGCAATTAGTAAAATATTATTAACAATCAAAGAATCTTACAAATAATCAGATGATTCACACGTAAATTATCTGCCTCTTTTCCAGTTAATGGTTAGATATTTGCTTGAATTGTCATGAAATTATCAGTAAAATAACTGAAAATATATCTTGAAACCAAATCAAAATTATTTATTATATTTCATACCTTGAATATTATAGCATACATACATAGTCCAACAAATTGGCTAATTTATTTCTAATAAGTAAATTATTTAAAGTTTAACACTATGAAGTTAAACATTTCTACCTATTGACATTAAATATGATTAAATAAATCAGTCAGTCAGTGCACTGTGATAAAGGAATGTGAGAAGAGTTAGTCGTGCAGATATGAGAGGTGTTAGGGGGTGTAGGAAGGATTTGATTTTGACCAATTTGGTCTCGTGTGCTGTTACGTGTATGAGGGCGGTTGTCACTTCCCGGCTGCCCACACCGTGGAAGGTTGTTTCTTGACGAACCTGAAAAGGAAGATAGATTAGTGTTGGTCTGAACGACCTGCGAGCTTGACCGCAGAGTCCAAGGGACAACTGCTTGAGGCCGGTCACGCACGGCCTTTTTATTAAAGGTTTTTTGAGGATTAGCTCCTCTCTCAAAAGCCCTTAGTGGGCACCCTCACCGCAGGAGACGGAAATCCGTGAGGTAGGGTGAGGTGTGACATTTTTAGGGTCGACCTTTTCTAACCCTTCCTTCCTTGTGAGAAGGCAGCATCGCTGCTGATGCTGGTTGTCCGAGGGAAACGCCTTACTACTGTCACATCCCTCTTCAGTCAGTCAGCAGTACGACTTCGCCCTCAGACCTTGAGTGGCTGCTTTTAGTCTCATCGTTCTCCAATCGACCTGTCTGGCATAGTAGAACCTTCAGGAACATAAGTTCCAGCCAATATAGCTCGGTTGGGTCATGACGACAGGCAAGCCCGACCACCACGTCAAGGTAGCAGCTTCGTTCGGGTGATTAAATAAATAGAATAATTCATATAGTTACATCAAGACTAAGAGGCTATAGGACTTGATGATAAGAACAAAGCATAAAGGGAGAAAGATGTCTTCACCAAACAATCAATTAATCAATTACTAGTTAACAATACAGTTACATACTACTCACCAGATAAGTATAATTCCAGAACTGGCTGTTGATAAAAAATGCACAATATTCCACCATCCTTTAATACGTGATCCATTAGCAATAAGAATACGTTCACGAATAGTTAATGTACAATAGTACCAAACTAATAGAGCATGAAAAATAGTATCCACAATTCTGAAAAAAACAATTAAGATCAATTGATAAGAAGATAAGTATATATTTAATTAACTCACTTACTAAGTGCTTCGATATGAGTCACACTTTAATTGTAAGGGCCAACGATACTACTCAATTCCCCAAATGAAAGTAGGTGAAGCGGGTTTCGAGCCTTGAATCTAGTTATGGGACATGGATGGATTAAAGCATGACTGTGCTAGCTGCGCGCTAATTGGCTAATTTTCTATCCAATCAGCGCCTGATCGACTCTTGGAGAACAGGGTAGAAAATTCTCGTACTGTTAGCTGTATGCTGATTGGCTAAATCTAATGCAGTCGATCACGTGAATTACAATCCAGAAGCTTCTCATGTAAATCCTATGTAAAATTTTGCCTTCGCCTTCGGCTTCTTATTTCCATTTAACCTTGCTATTTGGAATATAATCTTTTCCTGTCTCACCGTGTTTTTGATTCTTTGGAACTTGTTCAGTGTATTGTGGTCAGAGAATACTAAGCGATAGGAATTAGCTGGGAATTATTTAAGCAAGCGTTACAATAGACCTGCTGACTAAAAGCTGAACGTATTAACGATTAAGCCATAGCCTCACTTAATAATGTAATAGTCAACTAAGAAGTCAATTCTAAGCGAGCTAAACAGTAGTGAGCAGAGAAATGTATAGTAACAACGACAGACCCTATAAAACTTTTAAAGTTTCTCTGACAAAAGGCAAACTTATGCAAATGTACATTTGGGAATATACATGATAATACAAAAAAAAAAACAGGAGATAACACTTAGGTGTTACGTGCTATGAGCGTGAATATAAAGTGGCACGTGTTGTTGTTAAGGTGTCCTTAAGCACATATAATCAGAATTAAACTTCAGTAAATAGCTGTATATCAAATAAATTGAACGAATATAATGGACTTCAAGAAGTAAAACCAAGTGATTTTTTTCAACTAAGAAGTAAAATTCACAAAGGCAATCCGTAGTATTGGTGTAGGATGAGTAAGCCAAGAGCCATGGCAAAAAACCGAGTAGCTAAAATACTCGACAAATTTCAATAAGAAAAATACTGGGCAGATAAAACAGATATCAGTCAGTCAGTCAGATGCAACGTAGAACTTTGTACATAAGTACATCAGTTCATGTTGCCATACCACATCAGCACAGAGAAGTAATCGTCAATTCAAATCCAATAGTAGAAGAGGTAGTAAGGGAATTAGAAATAATCGGAGAGGTTAGGATTAGAAGATACTACTCAAGAAGTATGATTCAGTGAGAAAAGTTTAGAGAGTCGAAACTAGAGGTGTTGAAGAATCCAGAAGATTAGGATTTGAGAGAACACAGAGAATAAATGCACTGGCGCCATTGCGAACGATTTTGAGCCATGTCATTCAAGGTCTCTAACCATCGATTATTATCATCTCGCGGACCCCAACCAGGTAGTCGACAATTACCGACATGGCTCAGTCCACTAGTCAATGACTTCATGGATTTCTGCCATGTTTTGGTTTGGCCGCCCCTAACTTTCTTCCAACCTATTCCTACACTACAAAACAAAGCTCTTCGAGGCAGTCGGTGGTTGGGCATACGCAACACGTGTCCCAACCACCTCAACTGGTGAAGTTTCAATACTTCATCGATTGATCTGCCATTCTTACCTAGCACCCGATTCCTAATAACAGCGTTGCTCACTCGGGTGTCCCACGATATACGAGCAATGCTTCGAAGACACCTATGATCGAAAACCAGTAACCTACGAATATCTTCTACTCTCACTGGCCATGTTTCACAGCCATAAAGTAAGACGGAGCGAACTACTGCGCAGTACACTCGTCCTTTAGTCAGCAAACGGATATCTCGCCTACGCCATAAGTGACGCAGGTTGGAAAAAGCCAATCGAGCCTTCTGTATCCGAGCTGAGATTTCGTCAGTCACCAGGCCATCGGCACTGATGAGACTCCCAAGATAAGTGAAGCGGTCTACACGTTCAACCACTTCACTCCCTATCACTAGTTCAGGTGCCAATGCAACCCAGTCTTGAAGCAACATTTTGCATTTCGAGGGGGAAAACCGCATCCCGAACATGCTTGCATTGTTGCTTAGGGTAGTCAGAAGACTCTGCATTTTGTCAGCGTCTTCACCAAGTAGGACAATGTCATCGGCATATTCTAAGTCAATAAGCGAGCCATCTGGAAGAAGGTCTACTCCTGAAAATTCAGACGAGGATAATGTTATGTCTAGGAGCATGTCTATGATAAAATTGAACAAAAATGGAGAAAGTGGACATCCCTGACGGACACCACTTGAAGTAGAGAATTCCGGTGACAGTTCGCCATAAGCCCTCACCCGACCAGTGGTGTTCGAGTAAAGAGCTTGTATAAGGTTAATGTACTTCTGTGGTACACCTTTCAATGACAGACACTGCCACAGAACCTCACGATCAACAGAGTCAAATGCCGCCTTAAGGTCTAGGAAAACAACTATTGTAGGACGCCTAAATGTGTGTCTATGTTCCAGGACCTGTCTGAGTGTGAAGACGTGGTCTATACAGCCACGTCCAGGTCGAAAACCAGACTGGTTTTCTCGAGTCTGCTCTTCACGAGCTTTCGTTAAGCGTCGAAGTATTATTGAGGCCAATATTTTAGATACTATATTAGTTAGACTTATTCCTCTGTGATTGTCACAAGAAGACTTTTGTCCTTTCTTATAGATTGGGACAATCAAGGATTGAGACCAGTCGGATGGGATTACGTCCAGTTCCCAGATTTTACCTAAGATCTCAGTCAATCTAGCTGATAAAACTGGACCACCATCCCTGAATATCTCAGGGGTCAGTCTATCAGGACCTGCAGCTCGTCCTCGTTTCAGATTTCCTAACGCTTTCTCAACGTCATAAAGACTAGGGGGACTTACGTCGATTTGCCATTCAGGATGACTGGAGATCGTGGGTAACTGAAGAGTGGCTCGTGGCCAGTTGAACTGATCCCTAAAGTGTTCTGCCCATCGATCCAGCCTCCTGGATTGAGAATGGATAATAAGACCATCCTTTTCCGAGATAGTCTCACTCACATTCGGGTTCTTAATACCGGTTTCTTTGATAAGGCGGAAAAGTTGTCTAGTGTTGCCTATCGCCGCTGCCTTTTCCATCGCTTTTGCTTTCGCCACCCACCACTGTTCGCGGTCGTTACGCAGACTTTTTATAAGTCTGCGCCTAAGCTGACTACGCTCTTCATCATGCTCAGAGTCAGGTGGGATGCGTTTTCGAGCATCCATCAGTTCGGTGGATGCGACTGAAATCCACGGCTTCATCCTAGCCTCATGGTTTACCTTCCTAGCAGATATCACTGCTGTTTCCACAGCCTTTTTGATATCATACCAACCTGCTTCTGGATGGGAATCGCTTGCATGGTTGCTTAACTCTCTTTCTAGTTGCTCCTGAAATATTTTCTTGGTTTGATTATCATTAAGTAAAACCCTAAGAGGCTTTCTTACGGTGTCTTTCCTACGTCCAGTAAGCCTTAAACAGATACGAGCTCGCACTAGAGCATGATCTGAATCCAAACATGTGCTCCAGAACGAGCGACAGTCTTCTATCGAACCCCTCCATCGGTGGCTGATGGCGATGTGATCTAGTTGAGTCCAACGTTGAGACGACTTTGGAGGTCGCCAGGTCAACAGATGCTTTTCCTTATGCCTAAAGTTGGTGTTCGCTAAGAATAGGCGGTTATCTGAGCACAGTTGCAACAGACGGTCGCCATTGTCTGTTCTCTCAGTCGCTACACCATAACATCCACCAAGATGTCTTTCCTTTTCACCTAGTCTACCTACTTGAGCATTAAAGTCACCAGCCATTATTACTATGTCAGAGCGCTTAGCTTTTTGGAGGAGGTCCGAAAGCTTTCTGTAAAACTCATCTTTAACCTCGTCTGCACTGCAGTCAGTGGGGGCATAGGCAGATATGACGAAGAGGCAACGGCGAGTGTCCCTATCCTTACGAGTCCTTACTGTCCCGTTTAGTCGGACAGCGCACAAACGACTATCTACTGGGATCCAGTCTAGGAGAGATAATTCTGCCCTAGGACTCAACGCTATGCCTACACCAGCAAGACCCCTGGAAGCAGCATCAGGGCTACCGGATACCCGAAGAGTAAATCGAGCTGCTTCTTCGTTTTGACAAGGTGGAATCAGGTTAATGACTTTACTAGGATCCTGTATGCGCGTTTCCGAGACGCAGCATACATCGATGGCACGAGTTTCTAAAGTCCTAGCTAATGATGCCTGTTGCCCTATTTGACACAATGTCCGTACATTAAAAGCTCCAATATGTAGTCTAGAACGGGGTTTCAAGAGACCAGGAACGACGTTTCGTGATCTCGCTTCGTCTGCATTAGCGGTGCAGTGAGAAAAGGGAGTATGAGTAGAGTTAGTCGTAGAGATAAAAGAGACATTAGGGGGTGTAGGAAGGATTTGATTTTGACCAATTTGGTCTCGCGTGCTGTTATGGGTATGAGGGCGGTTGTCACTTCCCGGCTGCCCACACCGTGGAAGGTTGTTTCTTGAGGGACCTGAAAAGGAAGATGGATTAGTGTTGGTGCGTGACCGCAGAGCCCAAGGGACAACTGCTTGAGGCCGGTCACGCACGGCCTATTTATGAAAGGTATTTTGAGAATTAGCTCCGTTCTTAAAGGCCCTTAGTGGGCACCCTTACCCAAGGAGACGGAAATCCGTGAGTTAGGGGGAGTGTGACATTTTTAGGGCCGACCTTTTCTAACCCTTCCTTCCTTGTGAGAAGGCAGCATCGCTGCAGATGCTGGTTGTCCGAGGGAAACACCTTACTGCTGTCACACCCCTCTGCAGTCAGCAGTACGACTTCGCCCTCAGACCTTGGGTAGCTGCTTTTAGTCTCATCGTTCTCCAATCGACCTGCCTGGCATGGTAGGACCTGCAGGAACATATGTTCCAGCCAGTATAGCTCGGTTGGGTCATCACGATAGGCAAGCCCGACCACCACGTCAAGGTAGCAGCTTCGGTCGGGATAAAACAGATATAATTATTTGGAGACAACCAATTTCGCTTTCTGAGCATTCGAAAACATCAAAATACTATAAAGAAACTAACGTTGTATATATTTTTGCCTTCGCCATCACCTTTGGCTTCTTATTTCCATTTAACCTTACTATTTGGAATATAATCTTTCCCTGTTCCACCGTGTTTTGACTCTTTGGAACTTGTCCAGTGTATTGTGGTCAGAGAATACTAAGCACTAGGAATTAGCTGGGAATTATTTAAGCAAGCGTTACAACAGCATACCTTCAGTGATAAGTCACAGATCTGCACAATAATACGGTGAAATGTGGTGCAGCACCCTCAGAACATCGCTAAATTCTAATGACAAGCCAATATTAGTGATTCAACCCCAAGAATATGCGAAACTGAAGGCTGATATTGTTAGTATCGAAAAAATATTGGTTGTCAGGGGCTTACATATCTCTCAATAGTCCACTCATGACTATCCAAGTTCAAACAGCATCTTACTAAATAGTTATTATCAAATTTTTCTGATAGCAATGGCTATAAAATATTTAGTTAAGTAGGGTCTAATGACAGTTTAGGGTGAGAGTGTCGTAGATATCTATAGAGTACACGTGAGTTCCATCTAGTAAGCTTAAGGCTTGCTGTCATTAAAACCTGTTAAAATAGTTTTTATTAAAACCCAACCAGTCTTTATAGGCTAATTAGACTGTCAGAAGTACTAGGTGAACCAGGATATAGGCACTAGGACAACGAAAGTCTTCAGTTGGTGTCGTATGAGATAAATAGTCAGATTTTGGTATTTAATGCTATTGAGATAGACGCAAACAAGCTTTGAGAGTTAAATCCAATAAACGCCTACAATCTTGAAAACGTTTGATAAAGTTAATGTTAAGACATGAATTTCGATCATCGCCTGAATAATTATTATATGCAGTCCTTAAATAACTTTGGAGTTGACGGGATACAACCTTTTAAGCGGTGATGGAACCAAACACTATAAAGGGAACTAAACTCAACTTTGTGTGAATTCCTTATAACATGGACCTTGAAGGTAATCATCTATGAAGGTGGCAGATTTGCTGATGGTCCATTCAAATGTGACCCAATCTATTCATTCAATGATTTCTCACAATAATCCCTTAGACATTGTCTCACAAAAAAGCATTTTGATACACGATGTAAGCATATGGAAATGTTCAGAGAAGGATCTTCAGGATGAATTCCAAATTCAATGTATTACTTTAATCTCTCCCGATCTTTAAAATTTCATTTGGCATTGTTGTCAACATTAAAATAAAGATACTTTTTTGATAGCAAAACAATGAACTCACCTATTCTGAACGAAAAAGTATAGTAGAAATGCCAAAAACGCACATATTCCTGAAATAATGATTTTAAATCTTTCATAATCATTTTTGTATCTGAATCTGCGCACATTACTAAAATCGGGTAATTACTTATCCTCCTTGTTACTAAACGATATGTTGAGAGCTCCAAGTACGATACGCAAGTACAAGCTATCTAGTTGATACAACGTAAGTAATTCACATACCCTGCTGTGCGAGGCAGAACATCCTCAATATCCCGTAAAAGGTATTCTTTTTTTAGGATATCTAGTTTGGCTTTTTCAAGAATGGTACTTTCATCACCTGTGGCATTCTTTTGAAGACTACAAAGTCTTAGATAACAACAGATTACCTTTCGATCTCACGCTTCAAAAGTTTCATATAGTTTCGACAATGTTTAACACTATGAACACAACTTGTTTCTTCTTCCCTAAGCTTATATAGTGACATGCTCAGTGATGAATGCTTTTTCTAAAAAAAATATATAAATGGATTATGAAACATTATCGTACAAACAGCACATATGGAGTGCTTTATAACGCGGTATTAAATTTACCTGCAGCTGTAACCAGTCGTTTTGGAAGTTATCTAATGCCTTTTGGAAGTCTTCCATGACTATTTTGCCTATTGCACAAACACGAAAAATCTTATTTGCTTTAATCCGCAATCCCGAATTACCCTCCCAGAAGTCAAGGAGAAATTCTCGTTACAATTGGTGATTGGCTGACTGAGTTCAATATCCAATATCTTTTTCACGAGCTAGTGTAAACCAATTCGATTTCTTCGCGCTCGATTCTTGTTCTTTTGGTACGGTTCCAGGTATTCGGTAATGTCCAATGGATGGATGTCTAGCCACTCGACTGTTAATTCTAGTCAGTTTGCAGTTGGTTGTGTGTTTGTATGTCTCGGGATTTGAATGAAAACGTCTGTTTCAGGGCAGTAGGGTTTCTGGATACCAGCAGCCATCACATTACCAGACCGGAGATCAGTTAGTTGCAATGTGGAGAGTACTAAGGATAATAAGGCTAAAGTTCTGATGCTATTATGAATAAAATTTCAGAACTGAGAAATATATAGATGAATTTAGTTTGTTAATTGGTAGTGAGGATTGTGAGAGAGGACCGCAGTGTAAGCAAAGGGGAGGGAAAAGAGATGAGAGGCGAGATAGAGAGTTAAACCTTAGTATCCAATATCTTTTTACGAACCGGTATAAATCATTTAATTTCTTTGCGATCGATTCCTGTCCTTTTGGTACGGTCTTAGGTGTTTAGTGATGTCCAACTGGATGTAATCTAACCCCTTGACTGCATTAGTTCATGTCATTTGGTAGTTATTTATGGGTCTGTATGTTCCGTGATTTAAAGGAGTGCGTTCGCTTCAGTGCAGTAGGGTTTCTTGCTTCCAGCAGCTATCATGTCATCAGGCTCGGGACCAGTTATTTGCAGTGAGGGGAATACTGAGGAAATATTTCTAACGCTAATAAGAGGATTCCAGAACTAAGTAAATTAATGGATAAATAAATTAACTATTTGCTAGTGAAGTTTGTGACAGAGGACAGAAGGGTAAGCAAAGAAGAGGAATCAGAGATAGTAAGCAAGATAGATTAAGTTAGTGATCTGATGGAATGACAATAATAAAAACTGGTAATTGTCGAGACATGTATCAAGCAGGGCTAGTCCAATAGTGTGATAATCAGCATATTAGAATGCGTTTGTTAAGACTCTTCTAGATGCCATTCAATGAGGGGGCTGTGGTCACTTCTGTTGAGAGAGTGTTTGGAGTTCGGAAAACTCCTAATGAAAAAGTCGTGCACAGACCTGTGTGTTCTCTCTTTGATTTGCAATTTTTAGGGGGTTACTTCGATAGCTGTGGTGGTGATCTTCTGTCAAGTTGCTCGTATCAGGATGGGTCAGCGTACCTAATATGTTGTATGCCATTATCAGATCACCTCTGATTCTCCCGTAACTCAATTTCAGTAATCCAAAGTGCCGGAGTATATCTTCGTAAGGTCTGTTCTTCAGGTCTACCATCCATTTAGTTACTCGTCTCTGCACTCGGTCCAGAAGATTTATATCTCTTTTACGGGGGGGGTGTGCGACAACGTTAAAAAATTAAATTTGTGGCTGAATGTGTCCATTACAGTTAGTCTAGAGCAATTTGGGGGTGATTGCACCAAGTTATATGCCATGAAGTAGAGAGTTGCGTTAGCCTTGACTGCAGCCTATATGTAGATCGGACAGATGTTTAGGTTTTCTATGGTTGTTAGACCGAGACATTTAGGAGTGAACTTCCACCGAGGATATAATTTTTTGTCGTGTGAAATGGAATGTTCACGACGTGACATTTTTACTATTTAAGTTTTGACCCACTTTTCTTTGCCCATTCCTCTTTTGCTGTCAAGTCCGTTTAAAGCTTAAATCAATTCTTTTCTGCCCCTATGGACCTCGAGTTCCTTGTGTTGTCTACATATATTAGTGCCGCTGAGCTAATTTTATTTAACAAGTCAGTGATAAATATCAGGAGGAGGAGTGGACCCAAGGTGGTCCCGTCTGAGACTCCTGATTTTGAGGTTTGACGACTCGTATGTACTCTGTCTTGGTACGAAACTTTCTATTATCAGGGTAGTTTCTTAGACAAGATGAAAGCTGATCAGCAAAGCCCGACTTCACAACCTTCGCAATAAGTAGTATGAGAGGTACCGTGTCGAAAACTTGAGTTAAGTCAAGGGATATTAGTTAAGCCGGTATTTTTTTATCTTTGCATATTGTCCAGCGGTCCTATTCAATGAGAATATCGGATGCTCATGACCTGACTTTCCTAAACCTATGTTGAGCTTTTTGCTTTTATCCATATGCTCCCTCATTTACTAACTTGCCACCCCTACCATTACCTTCGATAGTTTTGGTAGTGATGTAACTGGTCTCTAACAGGCTGGTTCCTTCCTAGCTCTTCCTCCACATACTGAGGGTAGTGTAGCTTGTTTCAGTGAATCTGGAAGTTTGTGTGACTGCAATAAATGTTTAAAAAAGTCTCATACTGGGGAAACAAGTGCTTTTACACACTGTTTCAAGACTACAGAGCAAATATTGTCACCTCATAGTGATTTTCTTGGGCACAGGGATTTTAGTTTTCTCAGCATTAAGTAAGTAAGATATTCCCCGGGCCATTAGCTGGTGCTAGGTTTGAGTAGTACCTTAAACTTATGGGTACCTAGTTTAGCTGATATGTGAAGTCGTTTTTAAAGTTGCCATCTTTTTGTTGGTAGGATTTTTGCCACTTGGACCCTTGAGAGCACAAACAGCCTAGTTGGCAGGCTTTCGTCCAGTCAAGAACCTAAACAGATACTTCGGGATGCCAATATTCTAGTTGTAAGCTTCGTTTGGAAGTGTCTTCAATCACTTCGAACCTCGGCACTGCACCCTCCTCTCAACGCCAAGCAAGAACTGTGACCTCAGTCCTTCAGAGAGATCTTCCATTTGAACCAGCCTCTCCTCTTCTCCGGTGGCAAGCGTTCATTGCCTCGCTTAACCCGTGTTCTTCCGTCCCCAGGTGTGTAACTTGCCTTAGGTACTTTGTGTACGACAGCATTCTGGATGATGTCTCTCACTGCTAGCTAGTGATCCTCTATTGTTAGCCTCCACTATTCCCGTGAACATGGGGCGTTTTGGAGGTGCCCTCTGGTGGAAGTGTATCTTGCCCTAAGCTTGGTAAAGATAGGGTTTGTTTTCGTCCCTCTCGATTACTTCATTTATGACCGTGCTGAACGTGACTGCGCCATGGTCACTATTCGCTATTGATGTATGGATGTCAACATCCTCGACGAGGAGCTGATCATTTATTAACAAACAATGTATGTGTGAGAGTCTTAGTCAATCTAATTGCGTTACATCAATGCTCAATCAGTCCGGACTGATCCATTTACATTCATTCCTGGTCTCTTCCAGTTAACCCTTCAGTTTCTTTACGTTCCAATAAAAGTATTTGATGGTTTATTTCTGCACCTGTTGTACCGTTGCAGCAACAACGGTTGTCGGAGTTGTAAACATGTTGTTCGAACCAAGTTGGCTAGTTCTATGGGAACTGGCCACCGCATATTTTTTGCTTGCGTAGTATACTCAGTCGGCGAAACTTTGATTTTCATGTCTTTTTCTGTGGGTCGTCGATCGAGGTCGACAGACATTAGTATGTGATTACTCTATCCTCCCTGTTGTCCCCTTACTAACCTGAGCTGGATCTCGAAGCATCTAGTGTGGTTAGAGAGATCGCTCTTCATGAAGTATCAAGGTCTTCCCGATTTCTAAAGTTCAAAGCCATCAGATGCGGAGAATTATTAATCAAGAGGTGTGACAAACAAGGCAGCTATGAGACTCACAGTGGCCACAGTGGCATTAAGGCCAATACTACGTGATCGGTACCATCGTCGTTGAACATCCTGTGCATGCGTTTTATCTAAGCTACTACCAACAAGCTCAGGCGCTCCGTGAACCACATAATGATTTGTTCCTGAGTGTCATTTGATGTTCTGGAAGCTGCTCTTTACAAACATGATTTGTCGTGCTTGAATTAGATTGGGGAGTACAGTTTGATGAAGGGTCTCAGAGATGTCAGGAGGAATTCTTCGGCAACTTGCACCAGGTCAAACATTAACCTCAGAGAAAGGGGTTGCATTTAGAGATACTCTAACCCACGAAGAAACGTCATAGTTTGGCCTGAGTGCTTCTCATTCTGGGCATTGCATAGTACTTGTCCAGCTGTTCTTTATTAACAAGGGCGCCACTTTCCAATATGCAACCTTCTGAGACTGAAAAATTAGATTAAATTGTCAAACTTTGTCTGACATCCCCGTTTCTGATTTGCGGCGTTTTGGGAGCTGTGGAGTTGCCGTGTCCTTTTCTTACTGTCACCAAATGATTCATGCCATTAATAGGTACCAGGGAGTTTACAACAACTGCTAGTTCTTCTGGCGTATTGGCTCGTGTCGCGGCCTCCCTTGTCACCAGTTTTATTGATTTTCTGCAGGGTTAAATATGTCTACTTGATGGGATAGGTAGGTTAGTTTTAAGTGGGGCTGTTGACTTCTTGGCTGTTAATTTTGTTGTCGCAATAATTCTTCACTGCGGAGAAATATGTCAGAGCCACGAGCACGTTGACTGAGCATGAACCCCCAGTAGTGTCTAGGTACTGCAGTGTCGCAGAGGCACTGTAGAAGTTACAGTCAAATGCAGTCTTCAGCTTCACCTGAGAACAAGCAGGCAAACACAATTTTCCCTGTATCCTTTCTGAACAGTATGCTATCTCATTTAACTCTTAGGATGCCTATTTTTCCTATTCTTATTTTGCCTACTAGTCTTACCAGGGATAGGAATCTGGGAGGGAGGTGATACGGGAGAAATGAAGACATTTTGCTGATCAAAACCTTTATATTAATATCAATAATTTCACTGTGTTTTTTGGGTATATTTGTTTTACTTAACTTATGAACTTGTTTGAATTATTATTTTCGGCCATTTTGGACTCCTGTTTGTCTTGGTTTGTTCGTTTGCAGTTTTTTGCTCCAGGAATCTATAAAATAGAAGGTAATTGTAATTATTATAATTATTGTTGTTAGAACGACATTGGTCGTCTATTTGTAATAAACCAACGATATTTTGGTTGATTATTTGTGAATTGACGATAAACTTTGGTACCTAGCTTTGAAATTACATCTCACCTTGATTTGGGATCGTGAATTGCAAATAGATCGACTCACAGTGCTTCTAAGGAACAAGGAGCAAAAAATTGTACGTAACAAAAGTTCTATTTTAATTTTGGTTCTTTGGTCATACGCTGGATACACTTGGACATTTGGGTCCAAAGGTTCTTCAA